AACTTTTTATCTTTTAGGGAATTAAGAATATAAATGTGTCTTTTGATTTTTTGTAGGTTATGATTTATGAATTAAATTTCAATATGAGTCTTTTAAGTTTTTTTAAATGGTTATGATTCATAATTATCGTTCATATATTTGGAATTATAAGAGTTGTATTACTAACTATATATAGTTATGTACTTCAAGGTTTTTAACAACAATCACAAATAAAAACTTGAGTTTTTCTATTGGTTTCTCTTACTTTTTCTTTCAATTTTTAACAAAATATTATATTGAGTAAGTCTATCTTTATAAATTTTTCCAACACTGATTTGCTGCAGAAAATGAATAGATGCATGCAGATACAGAAATATCTTGTAAGAGATTAAGATTTCTCAAGTGATGGCAGATCAATAGAAGAGGTGAATCATCAGTAGTGCTATCCAAAATCAATAAAATTTCTCTTACTATAATTATTTTTTTATGGTTTATCACAAATATTCATGTGGTTATTTCTCTTAGTATTTGTGAATTTATACTAGTCATTTATGAGTTCTTCCTTTGTCTTCCCTTCTCTTTTTTTTTTTTAATTATGTTGAGCTTATGTGTTTTTTCAGGCAGTTGAAAGTTGGTACTAGGCAGAGGAATCAATTGTTAGTCACGGATCACCTGTTTCAGACCAGAGAATGCCCGAGAATGGCAGACCACCATTCATATAATACATGTAGGTTATTGCATTCTGCATTTCTTTTCGTTCATGATTGAAATATTAATTAGTGAATCACGGCGAATTCCTCTAAAATCCATCAGTACACTAGAAGCCCAAGAGTGGCTGCTCATAAGGATTCTTATTTTCTGTCCAGCTTAATGTAGCAAGTTTGAACTGCCTGGGATACAGTTGAATAAAGTTATGAAATCATCTAAAAGTGTATATTTACAAGAAATAAAAGTCACTCAAAGAGAATAAAAATTTATTTCAAATAAATTTAGAAGTAGAACTGAGAGGATGCTTTTATATTTAATTGACAGTTAAACTCTAAGTATTTTCAAATGAATTTCACAGAATTATTTGATTTATTCCAAACATAGCATCAGTAAAGCAACTTTTGTGCTGCAGACCTGAAATTCTTTGTACTTAAAAGATTGTGAAAACCAGTGCAGAAAATTTAATAGACAATTTCAACCATCACCTAAAACTAGGACCTTTCCAGTCGGAAAAATTCTTGATATCAAAGTGATAAACTCGAACCCAGTGTTGCAGAGAGACATAGTTATGTTAAACTTGATTTCAATGCGTGATTCTCCCTGCTTAAAGTATGCTAAGTTAAACACAAACCATCCATTGGTTAGACTTATAGTACTTCCACAATTTATTTATAAAGGTGCAGATTTGAATCCTAGACTATGCTTCCCTTGTCATCAAATAACGATCAATATATACATATATACCAAGTTAGATTTAGGAAATTCAAATGTACTCCTAATTATTTTGCTAGTTGTTATTATATGTCTGGTCTGTGAGAGAGTTGTCACATGATTATTCGGCGTCTCTTGCAGGCTAGTTTTGTCTTTTAAAATGACTAAAAAGGGTCATTAGGGTAAACAAATAAAATGGCGTGGCGGTGCCGGGCCAAAACCAAAGAGGTAAATATATATATATATATATATGAACCGTCATTGACAATTTGGATACTTCCTAACCTTAATCAGTTTATATGCCCTTGTGCCCCTAAAACTTGAACTTTTAAGCAAAAGCTTTTAGTGCCAATTCCTATATTAAGTACCACCTTCGTCTATTTAAGCTACTTTCTCCTCTCTTTTCCAGGATCAATACTTAAGGAACGAAGGGTACATATCCTCCTCTTATAACCATGTCAAGAGATTTAGATATAGCATGCGGCTACAAGGCCAGACCTTCAGGTTGGTTAAACTCGATCTTTATGGAAACAGTGAACATGGCTGCAAAAACGCTCGTGTCGGTAGCATCAAACTCAAAAGCTGAGAATCCAGAGAAGTGGAAGGCAGCAGATCACTTGAGATTCATGGTCATGCTAATGACATGGTTCACCGTGTGGGTTCTTAGGGCCTTGGTGGATCATTTCCCTTTTAATATTGGCTCCCAACAATGTCTTGCAGGAGGATTATCGCCTGCCGGATCATTAGACTTGCCACCACCACCACCATCATCAGCGTTAACTACACTCTCATCTCCAAGTTCATCCTGGGATTTGATTGTCCATGAAGATGTTGATGTACCATCTGTTAAAGCTCTTGGCAGAGCACTCTCTCATGTAAGCCTCTTTCTCTCTCTCTTCCCCCCTCCTACACACACGCGTTGAATACATATATGTTTGTTTGTGTGGTATGGGCACACGTATATTAAGTATAATATTTGATTTTAGTAGGTTTTTTACTTGAAAAGTTGAAATAATTCGAACCCGATACTTAAGAGTTTTATAGTGGTAGATACTTCTGAGCTGAAGTTTTACTAGTTTAATTAATTCTGGTGCCTCAGGCAATATGAAATGGGCACGTAAGAATCCATGTAAATAATGGGTTTTAATTATTTTAATCAGTTTTCCATAATCCCGATATTTTATATTAGCTATTTATATAGAACATGGACTTCTGGTACACGGTTGGATTTCAAATTAGATTTGCTGGGCTCCTTTGACTCGACAGCACTGTCTCTGCTTCGAAGTCTATATAATCTAACACAACACTTATATTTCGTGATCTTCAACTCTTTTTTTAACCATTTACGTTTCAGCTTCACCTTTTTGGGTTTTTGTTGTTTTGAATTATCTTTTTATCTAGCAAGCTGCAATCATAATTTCCTCCGTTTCTTTTTTTGGAATTGCATATTATTGCTGTATTATTATTGTTGTTATTATAGAAATATACGTAAGTGCCACCAATCTCAAACATTAGCGGCACACTTTGTTTTCTAGTTCATTTTAAACTGAAGTTGGGTTTTGCACATCATCAAGAGGAGAGAAAACGGCAAATATGATATAGGAAGAGTTTTGTGCCACGTATCTGTCTTTATAAAACGATTGCGAAACGTCTGGTTTTGCATGCAGGGTGTTTCCTGTACCACCTGTAAAGCTTTTTTTTTTAAAAAAAAGTTTCTTCCCTTTTTGGGTCCCTTGTCTTGTTTTTCTCTATTTTATTTTTATAAATTTTTTTGAAGAGCATATAGGCGGCTGAATTTTGCCTCTTCTGTTTGTTTCAGTAACAATAGGAGACCCTATAATTAAGATATTGGCACATGACAGCTCTTGTATTATTCGGTTCGTATAATCCAAAATCTAAAAACTGGAAATGGGAGAATTGGCTCTGTAATGATCAGCCTGAAGTGTGTTTTAGTTGGAGCTTTAAGTGCAGACAGGAAAGGTTATCAAAAAAGGGAAAAAGCAGACGAGAAAGATTTACTTGAGCATCTAAAAACTACACGTGTTTGACATGCAAACACTCATGGCGCCACCTATTGCTGAATCATCTTTTGCATTAACTTCTCCTTCATGCAATCCATAAATCGGCTGTTGGTGATTATCAATAAATTGAACTTGCTTTAACGTAATCTAATAACCAATATTTTGAATATTATTTTGTTGGGTTTCTTCTTCATGTTTAGTTTGCAATGGCAGACTTTGAAATCGCATCAAGGAACTGGTTGTTAATTACGTGAAAGTTGAAACTTTGAAATCCATTGAGATTAATCTATGAGCTCCTTCTGGGTGCAGGTCTTGGCACTCTTAAATGAGATACCAGCGACTTCAAGGAAATACCAGTTTGCAATGGCAATGGCGGACAAGATCATTGAGGAGAACTCAAGGGACGGTCACCCTGAACTCCTCCATGTCAACCGCACGGCCTTGGCTGCTGCCTTTGATCGGACGGCGTCCCTCCTCTACAGCTCCCTTCAACGAGGCTCCTATAAGGAAGAGGACGACTACTCGAGCAGTGGCTGGCACATGCGAGCCGTCAGGACTTTTCCTCTGGGCTCCTACTTGACGTCGTACGTGAAGGGACTGAGCAGGGTGCTGGGGATAGCCATGTCGTTGGTGGATGGCAGCACGTGGGGATCGCAAAAGAAAAGAGCAGGGGGAGTTGGCGGAGAAGGCTATCATGGGGACTACTATGGAGATGTTCTTGCAGAGAAACTAGCACAAGAATTGCTATGGCTCACTACCAAGTTCAGAGCTCATGGAGATATCTGCGAAGCTTTTGAGCAATGGAGTTATGCTTCTGGTTTGGCTGCTGTCTCTCTCACTGCCACCCCAAGAGTTCAAGGTTTCATTGTTAAGATATCAGGTAAGTACTTCCTTTTTTTTGAAGTCTATAATTAGTTGGTGAAATATGGATGAATACTAAAGTGTACATATATATGTACAGCTATACTTATAACCGAGATGGCTACAGAGAACCTGAAGGTTCGAAGACAAATCAAGTTCAGGTTGCTGGTTCTTTGGCTTCCATTGCTTTGTCATGCAGGCAATGGTGTGGCATATCCAGTGTTGACAAGCTTTGAGAAGTTGGAGCTTGAGAGAGCCATGGATGAAGTGATCTCAAGCTTACCTGCAATGGACCAGGAGGTCATCCTCACCAATTGGCTACAAGACTTCGCTGAGTCTCCTTCCGATTGGCCTAATCTCCAATTCACTTACGATCGCTGGTGCCAATTCACTCGCAAACTTGCGACGTAGTAGTCTGTCTACGCATAGATATAGAAACATATATATATATATATATATACATACTCCATATAATTAGTATTTGTCAACCCTTATGATGCTTTAGAATTACAGTGAATCATCATGATTTGAGCTCTTTCATTGTTAAAATTTATAGAGTGCAAAGTAATGGGTTTTTACCCAACAGTTATATCTGTTCGATTATTTATATTCTTGTCGTAGATGGAGAGCTGGTTCACATATTTTATAACTTGAAAAAAGCGTATGAAAATTAATTGCACGTGGTTGGATTTATCTTATTTTTCTACTGTACAAATATATATACATATATGTATATGTATAAATATTATAAAGAAGGGAAGAAAAGCTGACCTTGACAATCAAAAGAAAGAGCCTAAGTTGGCTATAGGCCAGGTCAGTTTCTTTTTGATCTGTACAAGTCCAAAATAACAAAAATTGGGCTGGCTATCTTTTTCAATGCCTGATAATTGTGCTGGTCTTCATAAAGAGGCGGATAGTCCATGTACAGACAGTAAGAAAAAAAGAGTGAGATTTGGATCTGAGCATGTATGGTCTGTGATGGTGTATCCTTACCATTTACAAGCTAATTAGGAGGGGAGGTGAACGGACGTTTATTATGTCGCCCATCTTTTTTTGGTGCTTGCATATATAAATTGTAGACTTTTGACTTATGGGTGTCAATTGGAGGATATGACTAATTCAGTGAGGAAAGAGATTTGGGCATGAAAGGGGAGAAACATGTTAGCTTCATTTATTTTGCTATTTTTTAGGTGGCATAAAAGCAGAACTTTTTGACAAGTTGAAAGATAATGATAATTTTAATAGGATTAGGTTTAGTAAATAGGTGGTTTCAGATCGTGGATTTTAGACATCTTATTAATATTTTGATTTAACATATAAATATATATATATATATATATTTTTTTTTTTACATAGTTGGACACTCTTTTAGTACTTATTAATGAATCATACTATACTTTTTTACTTCAAAAAATAATAATAATAATAATAATAATATTGAACCTTTCGTATACCCACAACAAATTACTTCTACCAACATTAACATCCATTTGTAAAGCCTGTGAAAAAACGTCTCTTCTCACCAACTTATAGTAAAGGAAGGAACCATATAGGTACAGCTTAACATCTTTTACTGACAGTAATGTTGGCACAGGTCTAATCCCTATAGTAACAGTTGAAATATTGTCAATTTTTCATCGGTATAATTCACATAAGAAAAATACGAGAATACATAATATTATTATTAACTAGGGACAATTAGGATTTTGGCCAGGGCCTCCGAAGTAAAATACAGGTTCACCTACAATTCCTTCCCTGTAATTCAAAGGATTGTAGCAGTAGTCTTCATCAGCCCAAGTGCCTACCCATTCAGGGTACTTGAAAGACTTGGAAAAATCCATAATCCGAGGGTGTGATATGAAACATGCAGATCCACGAAGTCCCGATGCAAATGATCCACTTCCCATTGCAGTCTTTGTGTGAGGAGTTTTCTTCACACTTTCACTATAAACTTGTCCTCCCCATTGAATTAGTGTAGCAGTATGGCTCAGATAATTAAACATACTTCCAGGCCAATACCCTACTCTTTCACCTCCAAACGTCAACCACCAATTTTTTGTGGCTTGATCTTGAAGGATGTTAATGGATATTTGATATTGCGGTCCGTGTTTAGACGATATCGGACTAAGTTTTGCACCAATAACTATCTTTCGGCTTATTTGCACAAATCCAGAGCAGAACACGTTAAAGCATCCAGTTGTTTTGTACCCATCTTTCTATGATTTCACAAAAAAGAACATGTAATAAATAAAATTAGGGTTTATAGTTCTTGACTTGATCTGTTATATATGTAGATGTACTCACTGTCCAGTATGCAAAAAATCGGGTATCTGAGTCACCATATAATTTTGGATTTACCTGGAAAAAGTAAATATATATATATATATATGTTAATGATTTTTTATTTGGCGCTTAAACATGAAAATGGAATAGAAATATACTAATTGAATTAGGAGTAATTACCACCCATCCTGCTTCTACACTTTCAAAATTATTACCAGGGCCAGCTTGCAGCCAAATCTGAGCTGTAGTATACTCATCTGGCCTTTGCACATATGGTTTCCAGACGTTTATGTCTGCTGAAGCTCCAATATAGTTATATCCAACTGTTACTAGGGTTGCAGACTGCAGGTTCACGAGAGGAGATTATGTAACTATATATAGTTTAACGTGTATATATATAAATATGAAAGGTTTCTTTTGAATGCATGTGGGTATTTTTAGGTAAACGTTATACTCACTGCACGATTGGGTAAAAACCCAATTGATACATTGTTCTGTGCTTCTGCACTTGGGTTAAAATGAAAGGAGCTACCATTTCTATTTCCTGTGATAAGCATATTTTTCTTCCCAACAGAAGAACCTCTTAGGGTTTTTCGGAAACGAATAATGGGAATTGTTCCTTCCGGACAACTTCCACTGGCTTGCCAAGTTTGAAAAGCCATTGCCACTGCCTGCTTAGAATTAGACTTATTTTCTTGTCTTGAAGTGTCTTCTGGTAAATTAAAACTGGGACGCATCTGAACATTACATCAACAATATTATCACATATATATAATTCAATATAAGGTATATTCGTGTGTACACTTTAGAGACAAGAAATTAATGGACCTGAATGGTGTGGTTTTTGAGTGCAGGATGATCAAAAGCAGGTTGTTTATGGATGTCTATACAGTCAATAATATCACCATCTTCGCTCTACAAAACACATGGATGAATAATAACAATTATCTACATCATTTTGTTGAATACAAGTTGAGAATATTATTTCGGTTACCTTAGTGGTCTTCAGGGAAATTTTACTGAGAGAATTTAATTTGTCAACTTTTGAAACTTGAGTTTTCCCCTGCACGACTCCATTACTGAGAAAAAATAAAACCAGAAGCGCATAAATCCCACTGCTCATTTTCTTCTCGAAAACAAAGAAAAATGGAGTGAAATAATTACAAGAATTCTTCACAGCGCACCCACACATACACAAAAGTGTGTTTATATATATATCCCAGTCAACTCCACTGTTAATGCTATTTCATCATTTTTGCATTAATATCTCAAATTTACCTGGAAATTAGCAGCCATACATGATCTTTATAATCTCATAACTTTAATTCGAAGAATATTTTTTTACTTTATTATAGTTAATACAATCATCTATTTCTGGATATCAAATATTATTTTCTATATATTGTTTAGTATTATGTTTTTGGAGATTAAATACCAAGATTTCTCTCACGTCCTTTTTCATATATATAAGATTCATTGAATTCTTTTCACCTATTTATACTCTATAACTAGAATTTCTACTAAGCACTTCATAAATTAACTACTGGAGATAGTTTTTCTTAAAATATGATAATAATAATAATAATAATAATAATAACAATAATAATATTTCACTCCCTTCAAGTAGTTTAAATGAAAATGTAGATTCAGAAAATTCTCAAATAATCAAGATATTAAACCCATAAAGCCTTTGAATATCCTCTGAAAACCAAAGAAAATAAGAGCAATCTAGTAAATAATTTGGATAAAAATGAGTACTGACCATATTTGAATATTCAATTTAGAGACTTTATGTTAGACATCCCCTAAAATAACATACATGTGATATGCTGTCCAAGAAAAAGACTTACATAACAAACTATGTGATAAACAATCACAAATATTACATTTTAATTTTTCTTTTTGCAAAGAAGTTAATTGTACCATTTTTTATTTTTTATTTTTAAAAGATAAAGCTTCAGAAAAAAAATATATATTTTTTTTCTGTCACCCCCTCACCAAAAAAATTATTATTATTATTATTATTATTGTTGTCGTTATTGTTATTATTATTATTATTATTTGAATATGTGTTAGTGGTATAATTTTATGGAATTTCAAAATGGTAAGATTAACAACTTAATACAATGGATTGTGCGTAGAAATTATAATTTTCTTTTTTGCCCTCTATCTTATTGAATGTTATTGTTGCATTCTTTACTTATCGTGCTCCCTTTTGATAAATAGTTCTCTTGGGTTCATCTTTACATAGAAGAAGTGATCGAGATCAAAACTAGAGAGTGTTGAGTTTCAATCAATCATGTAGATTTATACGTGAGTTTATTGTGCATAAATTACTATCAATTTAATTGAACACAATTGAAAGTAATATGTTAAGGTTAAAGGGATATTAGACTTTAATGTTTCAAATAAAGTTTGAGCATTCTAATATGCAAAGACCAAAAGTGTTATTTTTTATTTTATTATTAGTGAAATTAGAAATAATAAAAATTTAAAAATATAAATAGACAGTTATGATCTCCAAATCACACGTAATTTTTTTTTTATTCTATTATTCTGTCACCAGAAATAGAAAAAGTGTAAAAATTCAAAAGATCAACTTGTTGAATTGAAAGATTTACCACAGAACGTGCAGATTTTTTCTGTCATATAGATTCAGGTACGCTTCCATTTCAGATATAATATCTTTAATTTAATATGAGCATAATAATTTAGATTCATATATAATTTTGTGAAATCCCTATAAATTGTATCGTATTATCCTCATATTGAATATTTGAGATTAAAAACTTTTCATATTCGGTATTTGGATTTTTTGCGGTAAAGTTTCGAATTCGATATATACTTTTTGTGAAAATTCTTATTGGATTTTTAAACAAAATAAAACAAATTTTTTTGGATTTGGGGATTCAGGCCGCGCGATTCCACGACCTCTTCATTGCATGATCGCGCGGCCTCGCAACGATTGGCTTAGGTGGGTTAACAAGTTGTGGCTAATAGCTGCCTCATAAAGAAAAAATTAAAAGAAAGGTGGCCTCATAATTTCAGCCTCGGTTTGCCGCCACTGATGGGACCATCGTGGTCATAGGATCGCACTAGTGAAGAGACTGCGACTGTTTAATTGTGAAAACGTGCATGACTGTGGAGGGGCAGGAGACATGGCAGCCAAATGATCCGTATTCCCCCCCCCCCCCCCCCTGGTGCTTCTTTATCAGGTCACGATAATCATTATTTGCTTGTTATAGTTACTTTTTTAATGAATCATTGCATGTGAGTACATAAGATGTAAAACAAAATTGACAAGTGAGAATTCTGCTTTATTTTTGCACAGACGATTAGGTTATATCTCCAAGAGGAGAATTAAAAGACTTGTGTCAGATAGAATTCTTGATACTCTTGACTTTACAGATTTTGACATATCTGTTAATTGCATCAAGGGAAAACATATAAAAATTAGGAGATTGGGTGCTAATAGGGTTATGGATGTATTAGAGCTTATACATGCTAACATTTGTGGATCATTCTATAGCTTCTTGGAATGGTCAACAATAATTCATAATATTCATATATGGCTATTATAGATATGACTATTTTTACCTTATTAATGAGAAATTACAGTCACTAGATTTGTTTAAGAATTTTAAAGCTAAAATTAAGAACCAACTCAACAAAAGAATTAAAGTTGTTAGATTTGACTGTGATGGTGAATACTATGGCAGATATGATGGATATGGTAAACAATGTTTAGGACCATTTGTTAGATTCCTAGAGGAATGCAGTATTGTCCCATAGCACATCGTGTCAGGTTCCCCTAGCATAAATATTATTGCTGAAATACAAAATAGAACGCATAAAGATATAATGAAAAGCATGATTAGTCATTCAACCTTACCTAAATCTCTCTAGAAGAAGTATTAAAGACCGCAACATATATATTCAACAGAGTTCCAACTAAAGCAACTGCAAAGACCCCTTATGAGTTTTGAACGAGTAAGAAATCTAGTTTAAAATATTTGCATATTTTAGGATGTCCAACTGAGGCCAGACCTTATACGTCAAATGAAAAGAAACTGGATTCAATAATAGTCAGTTACTATTTTGTTGGCTATTCTGAAAAATTCAGGGTTACAAGCTTTACAATTCGATAACTAAGTCAATTTTTAAGATAGAAAATGTCCAGTTCTTTGAAATGTTGAGTTTGCGAGGGGAGGGGCGGAGAGAAAGTTCGGGATCGTGTTTTTTAAGATGAATATATTGATGAATATTCCCTCAGTTGCTAGTGACAATGTTCAATATCATATTCTTACACTTGACATTGTTCAAGAAGCAATTTCAAACTACCTCCCGTGCATGTTTAAGAAGTTATTCCAAAAGAGCAAACTCTGCAAACTCAAGAATTAATGCTATTAAAAAGATCCACCAGAGAGAGGAGAAGTGCAATTCTGAATAATTACATTATATTTCTTTAAAAGCATGAGGTTGACATCGGAATGATGGAATATGATCCAATCAACTTTCGTCATGAAAAGCTCTAACTCTCAAAAGTAAATTGATGTCATGAATGGAGAGATTAAGTCCATGAAGGACAATGATGTATATAATCTTATCCCTTTTCCTGAAGGTGTGAAACTCATTGGTTGCAGATAGATATTTAAGACCAAGAGGTATTTAAAAGGTGATATGGAGAGGTACAAGACTCGTTTTGTCATTAAGGGCTTTACACAGAAAGAAGATATCAATTATAAATAGACTTTTTCTTCAGTTTTATCGAAAGACTCTTTCAAGACTATAATAGCTTTGATCTTGAGTTACATCATATGTATGTTAAGATAGTGTTTCTCCATGGTGATATTGATGAGATAATTTTTATGGTACAACTAGAAAATTTTATCAAATAGTTTGTAAATTAAAAAAATTCATCTATTAATTTAAGTAGGCTTTTAGTCAATAGTATCAAAAAATTTATCGAGTTGTCATCTCGTTAAATTTTGAGATAAATATAATAGATGATTGTATATATCATAAGTTCAGTTAGAGTAAATATATTTTTCTGGTTTTATATGTCAATAACATACTACTTGTCAGCAATGATATAGATTTATTGCACGACATTAAGAGATTTCTGACAAAGAAATTTGAGATGGAAGATTTTAGGAATGCCTCTTTTATATTAAGAATTTAGATAGATTAGGATCGCTCTCGAAGTATTCTTAAATTATCACAAAAGAATTATATCAAAAAGATTATGCAGCTATAGAAAGTCTTATATATGCATAGATTTATACATGTCCAGATATTGCATATATTATTGGAATGTTATGGAGATATTTGAGCAATCCATGTATGGATCATTAAAAAGTAGTCAAACGCATCATGCGATATCTGCAGATAACGAAAGACTACATACTCACATACAAGAGGTCAGATTAGTTAGAGATCATTAGTTATGTTGATTATGATTTTGTTGGATACTAAAATAATAGGAGATCCACGTCAAGCTATATCTACTTATTTGTTTCAGGAGCTACTTCATGGAAGAGTGATAAGTAAACACTCATAGCCTCTTCCATCATAAAAACAGATTTTATAACATGTTATGAGGCGTTCAATCATAGAATATGACTGCAAAATTTTTTCATTGGGTTGCGCATTATAGATGACATTGAAAAATCATTAAAGATTTTTTGTAACAATAAGTCTACATTATATATTCCATTAATAATAGGAGTTTAATGAAGTCAAAACATATAGAGATCAAATTTCAAGTTGTTAAAGAAAGAGTTCAAAGTAAATAGATATTAATAGAGCACTAAAAGATTACCACCCAAGGTCTTTCATGAGCACATTACTCATATAGGGGTTGTATCTCTTGAGGATGTATAGTTTCAATAGAAGCTTTGTACTATAGTTGTTTTTATGATATAGACATGTCTTGAGTTTTGTATTTTGGATATGGTTTATATATTTGCGAATTAATTTCAATTATATTGACTTAGTTTATATTTTATCTCTGAATTTGCTTAACGTTGATATAACTAACGTTTAAGGTAGGACCAATTTGAAATAGTCATGCTCGGGTCACATATCATATAATTTTCATGTTGCACATCCATGTTTGATCCATATTATTAGGTTATATTGATATACGTGACTATTGATGGGTTTAGCTACAACAGTTGTAGCGAAAACCACTTTGCTCCTATATTGATGTGATTGATGGACCAAATTGTTTAGAGATGCATTCAAGTATTAATAATAAAATTATGAGTACTCATAAAGTTATTAATGCACAATTATAAGGTGACACATATAGCTCAAGTGAGATATTATTGGATTTCAATCAACCATGTAGGGTTATATGTGGGTTTATTATGAATAACTATCAATTTAATTAGACTTTGTTAAAAGTGATCTGTTATGGTTAAATGGATATTAGATTTTAATACATCAAATAAAGTATGAACCTTTTTATATGCATAGACTAAAAGTATTATTTCTAATTTTACAATTGATCAAATTAAAAATAATGAAAATTTAAAGATATAATTAGGTAATTATGGTCCACAAATCACATATGGATGAGAGTATGAGAGTTTCAAATGACTACATGTTAATTTGAAAGATCTAATGCAGAACATGCATATTTATTTTGCTATTAATT